TAGCAGTGAATTGTTCAGAGATACGTTTGAATAATTCTTGAATTGCAGTGCTGTTGCCTAAAAACACATATTACAATTCATTAATCAAATAACATGTTCATCATCATCATCAATGATCTTACCAATGAATGTTGCTGACATTTTAAGACCACGTGGTGGAATATCACAAACAGCTGTCTTAACATTGTTTGGAATCCATTCAACGAAGTAGGATGAGTTCTTGTTTTGAACATTCAACATTTGTTCATCAACTTCTTTCATTGACATGCGACCACGGAAGATTGTTGCAACAGTCAAGTATCGACCATGACGAGGATCACATGCAGCCATCATGTTTTTAGCATCGAACATTTGTTGTGTAAGTTCAGGAACAGTTAATGCACGATATTGTTGTGATCCTCGTGATGTTAATGGTGCAAAGCCAGGCATAAAAAAGTGTAAACGTGGAAATGGAACCATGTTTACAGCTAGTTTACGTAAATCAGCATTTAATTGACCTAATCAAAATAAATCAAATAAATAAATAAACAATGAATTATTGAAGAAAAAACGAAATAGTGTACCTGGAAATCGAAGACATGTTGTTACACCAGACATGGTAGCTGATACCAAGTGATTGAGATCACCATAAGTTGGTGTTGTTAGTTTTAATGTACGAAAGCAAATATCATATAATGCTTCGTTATCGATACAATATGTTTCATCTGTATTTTCAACAAGTTGGTGAACAGAAAGTGTTGCATTGTATGGTTCAACAACAGTATCTGATACTTTTGGTGATGGGACAACACTAAATGTCATCATGATACCTAAATACAAAATATAAAAGCGTGTGGATATGATGAAAAAGGATTTCGATTATGACATACGATCAGGATATTCTTCACGAATCTTTGAGATGAGTAATGTACCCATACCCGATCCAGTACCACCACCAAGTGAGTGAGTTAATTGAAAACCTTGAAGACAATCGCATGATTCGGCTTCTTTACGAACAACATCCAAGACTGAGTCGACTAATTCAGCACCTTCTGTATAATGACCTTTGGCCCAATTGTTTCCAGCACCTGATTGACCAAAAACAAAGTTATCTGGTCGAAAGAGTTGACCAAATGGACCACTACGAACGGAATCCATGGTGCCTGGTTCAAGATCAACAAGAACAGCACGAGGAACATATTTGCCTCCTGGAATAAAATACAGTTGTGTTCATATATTTTTCTCATTGTTCATTATATGAAAAATGATTTACCAGCTGCTTCATTATAGTAAACATTGATACGTTCAAGTTGGAGATCGGAATCACCATGATATGTACCAGTTGGATCAATACCATGTTCATCCGAAATGACTTCCCAAAACTAGAAAAAACAGCAGTGATGATTCATACATGAAAGAAATACTGCAGGAATAAAAAATAATAGAAATTTCTTGTTCGGATAATTATCTGCCACTCCATTTTTTTCTTCTATTCATGTGTCATGACATAGTAATTACACGAAAGTTTAGATTTATAAAAACAGATTATATGAAAAAAAATTTGAGTGCATACTTATTTCTTGGGGTGAAAAAAACATCTAAAATAATCTGTCAAGAAATCGGAAAATTTGCACGCATTGACCCAATACAAAAAATTTCAGTAAAAATATTTACATACTTTTGAACCAATTTGATTTCCACATTGGCCAGCTTGGATATGAACTATTTCACGCATTTTTTTTTAATTGTTGTTATTTTGTATAAGATGAATCGAAAGTAAGCGAGACACCAATCTGCAAGGATAGACAAAGTGTTATGCTGCTCGACGGACGACGAGATAATATAAAAAATGAGAGAGAGAGAAAGAACAACAGTCTATGAATGTCAGTCGTTTTTTTTCTCTCCTTCTCGCTCGCTCGCTCGTTTGCTCTCGCTCACTCCTTCTTAGTCAGAGAGAGAGAGAGAGGGAAAGACGGACGGACGACGGCAGGCATAGTCGCGTTGCTTCTACATCTAAATACGCATACACAGCCTAGCGGAGGACGACGGCTCATATCAATGAATGAATCATACTCTGATTCAATCCTCAAGACTTTCATAATAGAAAAAAAAAATATGAGATTAGTGCAATATAAGAAAGTGATGAAAATCAAGAGATTTGAAGAACCGTATATCAAGTAACTGACTACTTGTCTCATATGTCATGTCACAGAGATGTTACTCGTTTTTTTTTCTTTTTTTTAAAACCATTTCACTCGTCATATGAATATGAAAGCAACTAACTAAAAAAAAAATAGAAAATGAGAAGAAAAAGATAGGCTCTTTTCTTTACACATGGGAAATCAACAAGTTGGTTACCATAACAATACTTATATTTATTTTAACTACAAAAAAGAACTTCTTAGAAATACTTAAATTATATAATAATGATTTTTTTTTCTAAAAAATATATATATACATGAAATCGTCAAGAATAAGGTGTTCAAAATATACTAATGAATAAATGAACTTTATAAAATGCTTTTCTTTCGATTCTATAATGAGAAATAACTATGACATTTTTTTTAAACTGAAGAATGTTGTATGTTGAGATTATTTTTCCGATTTATTATAGAGTATACTTCAATTATGAGTTATTTAGCAGAAATATTTTGTTATTGCTAACGTTTATTTCAACATAAGTGAAGTTTTTTTTTGTTGTAAAAAATATACATTTAGTAAATGAAATAATTTGTCTAAGTGATGTTCAGTATGGTATGCATGATAAAGTTTTGTTTAATTTATAAAAAAGGAATGTTCTGCTCAATGCTTTTTTTCCTTATGCGTAGAAAATATGCACTTTTTTAAAAATGCGTAAATTATATCAGTGCAATTTTTTTGTACGTTGAAATAAATCAAACAGTTTATTTTTTTAGATACTATCAAATTAGATCTTGATTTGATGAAAAGTTTTTGTAAAGTAATTTTGCATAAAATGAGTGTAATAAATATTTTTTTTTCTAACTGGCAACAATTTACGTCGGAAAAACAAAACAAACAGATGCAAGACGATATAAAAAATATCTATACTACGTTTTAAAATAGTGAAGACATGATTCAACAATTTTTTGTAAATTTGATCAAACTTCACTTGATTATATTTTATATTTTTCATACAAAGAAGAGAGCAGATTTCAAAAATAGAAAATTTGGTTTTTCTTATATTTATGATTAAATATATCAAAATTTAACTTTACTGAGAATATTACTCGATATATATATGCAGACTAAAGTTTTTGACGTATCGTATCTTGAACATAGCTGTGAAACTTAGTATATAATATTTGGAAATATCATTAATACAGTTAATTTAAATGTTATTATGTAATGAAATCAATGTATATATTATTTGTTTTATAGTCAACGATTTATGCACATTTTTAACAGTTATGAAATCTGTTAAATATCAATAAATATTGTGTTTATCATGTGTATTCTAATCATTTTGAAAAATTGATATTATGCGTGAGAAGCGTGAGTTGAGTCAATAGTAAATAATGAATTATATCGACAATATATTGGAAAGGCATATTAACATAATGAAACTTTGTGTATTAATAAAATTTATTTTATTGTGTGACAAATAATGAGTCTTACCGTATTGCACAATCAAGTAAAATTTAAATGTTGTCATGTATTACGAGACAAGAATGATTAAAATCTAACAGCTATTATTTTTCTTATCAACTTTAATAAGGAACTATCTCAAATTGTCCGCTTTAGTTTATTTTTACAACTTTGTCAAGTTGAAGTTTTTTCATCAGTTGATAGTGCAATTTTTTTTAGTAAAAAAGCTTAAAATACATGGGAGATTATTGCATGAAAGCGTTTATGGATTCATAGTGAAATGGTAATACTCATAGTTGCTTGAAATGAACTATGAGATACTTATATAACTAAGAGATGCTTTATATTGATGAGAAAGAAAGAAAAAAACTGACATTAACCAAATTATCTACGAGTTATGAAGTTTTTTGTTCCAACATTATGCTAAATTCTAAATTTAATTTATTATAATTAAAGTTGATGCGTATTAAAGTGTATATTGGAATAGTCATTATTAATTTAAACTTTTTAAGAAAAGAAAAATTTTTAAAAGTTCATATTAAATTTGGTGTATTAGTGGACTGGTAATTCAGTATTATTTATATTTGTTTTTCTTCAGGCGATCTATTTTTAACTTAAACTTCACGCTGTCATACATAACTGAATAGATATTTATTAATTTAAATATGTCATATATAGTAAATCATTCATCCTATCGGCCTATCAGAATAGTTTAATTGATTCTATTAGCCGGATATCTACTTGAAAAATCAGTTTTATGTAATATAGATGATACTCATGAGTTATTCAGCAGTACTCTCTATCTAGACAAAAAATTACAAGTTTATAAACGACTAAATCATTTCTCTTAGCTTTTGAGCGCTTGGTATACATTCTATTTTTTCAAATCTTTATCAGCAATGTTTAGGGAGTTACCATGTGAATAAATACAGATATATTCAATACTTTAATTCTGTATATTTCTCGCTGTATTGTATTTAAGATCTTACATTGAACTAAGTTAATCTATCTTACGAGTCTTCATTTATACAAGATAGTCTGTCGGCTTCTTTTTCTTGAAACTTATCAACCTGTCTCTATATATGATTTCAGATGTTTTTGCGGTAGGAATGACTTATTTAAAGTCATATCAAATTTTGTTAGAAACTATAGTAGACTGATACAATTGATGGACTTCTATTTGTATTTTTTTATTTGCAAGAATTGTAGGTGAGTTGTTGTTTATCTACTATTCCATCAAGAATTTGCTTATGAATATTTGTGTATAGAATGAAGAATATTTATTCTACTTTAATCTCGTAATTTTGAAGAAATTACTAATTCTTATGGAATTTATTTTAAACAATGAAATTTTAGAATCATATCTTTATATAAATTTATTATTTAAACAAAAAAAATATACAAAAAAAAGAATTTCAATTTTCGTATTCGCATGATGAAGTTTGATCATCATCTTCATCATTTGTTAATCGTTGATTCATTCTTTGTTCATCATCATCGTCATCGTCATCATCATCATCATCATTAATATCTTCGTCTTCATCTTCTTCGTCTTCTTGATTATCATTTTGAGATTGTTCACCATTATTTTCATTATCAGAATTTACTGATGTTGGTGAATGGTTTGATTTTATTGATGATGATGATGGTGATGATGATGAAGTTTGATAATAATATAATTCTGCAGAATGTGTAAATCTTTCTGATAAAAGTTCATCTTCATTTTCTGTATTTTGACTATCATAATATGATGATGGTAAATTGAAATTATCTTCGATCGATGATTGTCGTATAGGTATTGGTAATGATGGTAATTGTCGAGAATTATTACTTGTATGTGGTCGAGGTTGAGCTGTATTTACTAATTGTATAGAATTATTAACAGGTGTTCTTTGATTTGATGATAATATAAGTCTGTAAAATGAAAAAAATTATAGTAATTTTTCAAATAAATAAAAATAATCAACCTTGGTGCATTTGACCAATTATCATTTCCACCAAAACCATCGTCAGTTGATGTATGGGAATCAAGTGAACCATGGCGACTTGTATCATTTCCACTACTACCTAATAATGGTTGATGTTGTTCAGGTGATTGATCAGGACCTCCTAAAATAGATAAATAATAATTATAAATAAATGTATATTTTTATTATTTATACTTGTTGATGTAAAAAATAAAGCTGTTCGTGGTCGATTATTTGTATGTTTTCTTGGTGGTATTCTTTGTGCTGCTATTTCACTAATCATTTGATGATGATCATCATATGGTGTATTTGGTTGTTGTCTTTGTTTACTTGAAATAACTGATACCATTCGACCATTTAGTGGTAAATGACGTTCATTAGATACCGTCATTGTATGTGGCCGATGTTGATCATTATCTGTAGTAACAAGTAATAATGGACGTGTTTCAGTTGGTGATAAAGCAACTGATGTTGAAGGATTTTTAACGCAAATTATTGATGATTTTGGTGTTGACATAATAGCTGGTCGAGGTGGATTCAATGGTGCTGGTGGTGTAACAAGAGGTAAAACATGAAGAACACTTGTTGGTTCTGGAACATTTAATGTTTTTCCATATTGTTGCTGTTGTTGTTGTTGTTGATTTAAAAAACTATCAGTAACTGGTGGAGCTGTTCGTTTTGTTTCATCAAGATTTATTAAATTAACATGTCCATTTTCTATATTAATACTTGGTCGACGACTTGTCGATACTTTATTTTTACCCATAAACAAATTTTCAAAATTCTAAAAATAAAATAAAACATCTCCTCTTTTTCTTTTATAGCTTTGTCGATTAAGTTCTCAATGGTTATTTTTAACTATTCATAAGTAGGACTCATAGTAATCAGGAAATATAACCATATACAAGATTTAATTTCTATGAATTTCGAACAAAAAAGAAGAACTGAAATCAATTATTTACCGATGATCGATTTGATCCTGATCGACGAAAACTTCCCGATCGACGAAATGCTGATTGTCTTGGATCATCATATTCATTAATACCTTCTTTTGAATAAACACGTTCTTTAAGTGCTGATACAAGACGATTTAAATTGAAACCCTATTAATGTACA